TCTCTAAATGGTATACTTTTTTATAAACGGTATACATGCCCTTATATAAAAGTATATATTTTATGTTATTTTGTAATTACACGATAATAATTCGTAACAAAATGCCAAAAAATTACCAATTTCTTATAAGTACTTGAGACCTTTTTTAATTATATTTTTGTCAAACGATATACAACTATAAGGTTGATTGTTAGGTGTTAGCAGAAGATAACAACATAATATTTATTAATATAATTTCTATAGAATTTTAACTTGCAGCCTCACATATGGTGCATAATTATTAAGTCAAAAACTTGATTTGTATAATAGTTGAACACTGGGGATGGCAATTTTCCCTACTCTGCCTCACCCTGTGCAGGTTTTTTTTGGCTTTGATGAAGAAGTGGAACACGGACAAGTTTTGCTCCCCTATCATTTATTTATCATTTTATATTTTGTAACCCTTGTTAATTATAAACTATTATTTATAATCTATAATATTATCTTAATTATTTGTTTTTAAATTACAAAATTAACTTGTACCGTCTCGCTCTATTCCAGACTCCACCACCTTCCAAATTGCCCCGCATCAAACATTATATAGGACAGGAGTGGGGAATAATAAATTTGTCTCCTTGTCATCCTTGTTAGACCCTTAAAAGTATTAACTATTTTATTATGATAAGTTTTATATACTTTTATTAAAGAGGTGGCAATAATTTATTGGCTTCAAATGGTTTTCATTTAATTTTAGAAATTTCTTTTGGGTAAGAAAATGGAAATGCATATATCATGTATAGCCCCATGAGCATCATAATCTAGATGCTTTTACAAGGTAATTAGGAAAAATAAATAAAAGGTGCAGTACTTCTTTCATCTTGCTTGCTTCATTTGCCAGTATGTTGATGTAAGATGATTATTTAGTACTTTTGGAGTATGAACACGTGGTACTTTATAAGATTTTGATTGGTGGAGAGGCGTAAGAACTCACAATTTATGTTGAGGATGGGGAAATAACATTAGACTAAGTAATTAGTGATTAGCTTAGAGTATGACTACGTGATGTTCTGGAAATATTAAATAATTTCTTGTCGAGGTAGGCGTTAGCTTCCCTAAATATGTGCTTGATTTCTCCCACTCCGAGCTAGTTCATGAGATACTTACAATCATAAATTAAGTTGGTAAGTGGATGAAAATAATCAACTTTCTTGGCAAGAAGTTAGCAAACCAACATGGCATCAAAATAATCAACTTTCGGAACCGTTTCTAAGGAGTCCCCTGTCGAAAGCATCAGAGTTTCCATCTAAGATAATTTTAAATAACTCAATTATAAAGGTACCCATCCAAAAAAAATGTAAAAGGAAGATACTATAAAGTGATTCTCATTAGCAATTCAACACTCCTCACCGCCGTATTTGGCAGTGTAGTTATTGTTATTTGTCAATTTTGATGAGAGATTTTTATAATTTCATCAAATTTTAATAAAGATTAGTGTAATTTATACAAATTTCATATTTATCATTAAATAATGTTATTTTTACATTTTATTTTTATCATTTATAAGTTGCCTGAAAAATATGTGTGTTAATTATAACAGCTTTCTTTGAGATTTTTTTCTTCAAAAAAAAAAACAAATTTTATGATTCTAGCATAATTATTACACGAGGAGGTGGATTGCCTCCCCTAGAGAATCATATAACAAATTGGAAAAAGAGGCAGACCCCATTGGGGGTGACCCCAGCCCCCCAGTGGGGTGTGATTGGTGAATAATATATTTTTTTTTTCTTGGTTCACAGCCTCCCACATGGAGGTGGGGGTGCTGGGGGTCACCCCCCACTGGGGGTCCCCAGCACGGCTGTAACAAATTTTATGTTCTCACAGTTTTGTAAACTATTGGGAAATTTGAATTAAAATTTATTTCAATGGTTGTATCTCTTGAGATAAAAGAGTGTGCCTTTTTGAAGGGTCACAACCTTTCTGAAGAGTTGTACGGGGAGGAAATAATTCTCCTCGTATAATCCTGTTGACCAAGTCCACGCTCCTCCGTACGACGTCGCTTTATCACCTGAAAACACAAACGTGAGCTAGCCGGCGGGTGTGTGCCGGAAACCTCTCAGATGCCTAAGTCAGTAAGCTTGACAAATAGGCAAAGCTCTATGTTCTCAGAAAGAATTGTGTTCAAAAATTACCTCCTCCAAGGTGGTGCTTGTGAGCTTTTATAGGTTTCGAGTGGCATAATCCTAGTAGGACTTTTATTTCTCCATGCAGAGTCCTCCTAGGATTCACATTCCTAAGGATAATGCTTATCCTTTTACACCCTCCCCCACTGCTTAAACCAAGTGGGATGGTTTTTACCACGGCCGAACTTCTATGTGACCGAAATAACACTGGCTATGCTGAGCCACAGAGTAGGCCGAACTATCCTTAGTTCGGTTTTCTCCCATTTAACCATGGTATGCTGAGACCAAGCTTCTGAGTAGCAAGCCCCGACCGATCTAACAATAATACACCGCAACCGGACTAACTGTGAGACCGGACTAACATCAAGTTACCTTCAAACCGGAGTAGCTTTACACCATCTTGAACCGGAGTAACCACACCCTCCTGGGCCGGAATAACTTCACTTCTCCTGGGCCGAAATAACATTACGGCTTCTTACTGATTCCTTCACACTTTGGGCCGCAGGGCCCAACTCACAGCTTGGCCCAATTCTTTCCCAAAAATTACCCTCTCAATTGCCCCTTAATTTCATCTGCATAGCATGATTGAGATTACAAATCCTTCAACCGAGCTGAAGTTCTACAAGCCTTTCCAGCCGAGATAAAAACCCTTCAGTGTATCCAGCCGAGCTAGTTTTACTCCGAACTCTGCTTTATCCGGTCAAAACGTCTCTTCAATCGCGACTGTAACGCTTCCCTTTCCCTTGCCACGTGGCGGGCTCTGATAGGCCGTGAGCTGTCATCACGCCGCCTTCGTACTTCGAACTTTTTGAACAGTCCCGCCCCTTTTTGCCGCGTTTTTCTCTCTCCTCTTTCACAAAACAACCCTTCTTTTTCTTGGATCATTCACCTCCCATTCTTCATCTCCTCTTTCCGTGTTCTTGCCGTTCGTGTTCTTCCTTCACTTTTGAGAACTGATTTTGCTGCCACTTCCCCATCATCAGATCCCACTTCTTCCATCTGGTAAGTAGACTCACTTTGCTTCCTTTAATTTGCTTTCGCATCTGTATATCTTGTTTTGTATGTTTTTTGCAAACACTTTCTTCCATTTGTTGCTTTTGCTTCTGTATTTTTAAGAAAAAACCAATAGAACTTCACATGTGTATGAACTATTATGTAGAAAACCAGTCTTAGATCCAGAATAATGTAGCGACCGATCTAGGGTACTATTTGTCCAAATAGGCAAATTACTTCAGTCAATAGCCGAACTAGAACTTGTAGAAATGACAGTAGCTTCAAAAAATAACCTTCTGATTCACTTTAGCCGAAATAAGATCACCGAACGAAGTCTGAATACATTGACCTAAGAACCTTAGTCTTCAACCGAGCTAAGCCTTTGGGGCCAAGCCAGCTTTCTTAATTCCTAAACCGAACTCAGAAAGCTGCCCCTAGAGGCTTAACCGAAGTAACTTTATTCATACTACAACCGATTTAGGCCCTGGGGCCAAATCAGCTTTCTTAGTCTTTTAGACCGAACTCAGAAAGCTGCCCCTAGACGATAAACCGGTCTAATGAGCAAACTGCCCAAACCGAGCTACCAAACCTTTTGATGACCCGAGATAGAACCAGTTTTTGAGGCCGAAGTAGGGCTCTTATACCTTGCTTTTAAATTGTAGCACGGTCCAACGATCAGTGCTTTAACCCCCTCTGTTTTCTACTTTGCAGACTTAGGTTACCCAGGCACTCCTGCGTGCGCTCAACCGAGCTACTGAGCACGATTTTTGCACCGATATAAATTATAAGTAAATTATACATCAGATGGGTAAGTATAGGTATCTAGTTGAGACACCTGGTGGCATGGCCGAATTTAGGAAAGATTACCAAATTCCTGATGACGTCCATCTGACGCTAGCCAAAAAAGACGTTATTCCTTGGGAAAATGAAGGCTTCGTCCCTTTTACCCTTCAATCCATAATAGAAACCGGACTACGGTTTCCTGTCCAACCGTTGATCTGCGAATTTCTTAGGCAGACTAGATTATGCCCCACCCAACTGTCCACCAATACATATCGCATCATAATGGGAATAGCCGCACTGAACCACCAAACCGGACTGAACCTCGGCCTGGCCGAAATTTTCCATCAATACTCCATCGGCTCAAAAGATGCTGGGTGGGTCTATTACCTTAGGATTCGCCGCCGCCGAGAGAAGATAGTTAAACACACACCGGACAAAGATCTTAACGATGATGACTTTTTCTGGGTCTCTGGGAACTTTGAGGATTTTCAAGCCCAAATTCCTGGCCGACCTATAAATTGGAAAAAGGGAGAGCCCGGTAATTTAACTTCGGTCTTCTTCCTTGTCTATTATTTCGGTTTTTTTAGTCTATTAGCCGAACTAACACTTCTCTTTTTGCAGATTTCGCGCACCTCCGTTCCCTATACAGCTATCCCAACCTTGCGATTTTGCGAGCCGCACTTCGGTGTAAAGAAAGGAGTTGGGCCAAACTTCTAAACTTTGAACCGACCTACCGATATAGCGGTCGTCGGAAGGCTCGAGTGACCGATTTCCTTCTCGAGGAAGCACCAGAACCGGACCCAACCTTACCCGAAATACGACTTGTCCCATTAACTGCTGAAGAAGAGATGGCAAAGAAAAGCAGGGTTAGGGCCCTTCTGACCGCAACAACCAGAGCCGAAGTACCACCAACTATTGAGGCGCAGCCTGCCGTTGTGGCCCTCCCTTCTCAAAGGCCTTCTTCATCTCGCCCTTCCAAACGCGCCCGATCTACATCGACCGAACAGCAACTTGTCGATGAGGTTGAATCCATCCCCCAAAGTCCTCAACCTTCCCCCCAACCGGAGCAAACTGACCGAGCTGAATCTCCGAAGTGGGCTCCGCCGCTGACCTTCAACGACCGAGATATCAAAGCTACTGACTCGGTCGTGGCTGAAAAAGATCACCAATTGGCTTTTAATCTGGCCAAAAGTGTGTGCCTCCCCAAGGACATGGAGCACCACTTAAAGCAATTGAACACCGAAATGAAGTCAATTCGGTCTGCATCCAAGTCCATGATTTTGGTAAGTAACTGTCCATTTTTTCTTGTTTGAATTTTCCAACCTTTACTTCGGCTTAAGAGAAGTCTTTGTTTTGTCAGGCCTTACAGAAGAACAACATCACTTACAAGAAAGTCCAAGAACTCCGAAAAACCACAAGGCAAGCAATGGCGGAAGCCGAGGCAAAGGCGGCCGAACTAGAGGAGGCCGAAAGGAAAATGACCGAGCTTCAAGCAGAGAACGGTCGACTTGCCGATCTGGTTAGCTCGGCTGAAGCGGAGAGGCAGAAAGCGGCCATCGCTATGAAAGACAAATATCTGCAGGAGTTGGTGAAGCTTGAGAAGAGAAAAGACACCGAAATAAGCGAACTAAAAAAGAGCGTGGAGGCGGCCGAAAATGAGGGGTACAAGCGAGGTTACAAGGAGGCAGAAGATGCCTATGTCAAACAATGCGACGCCGCGAAGGAGCTGTTCTTTAAGTGCGGCTGGAGGGCGGCTGTGGAGAAGCTCGGTCATGATCAACAGACCGAGGTCTTCGACCCTCCAGCTTACTTTATACCGAAGTCCCTTACGGAGTATGCAGACGCCTTGCAACAAGAGTTTTTGGAGGACTCAGACTCTGACGACTCCTCTGCTCCCGAAGACATTTCGGTTGTGAGTGCAGACCCGTCACTTCGGTTGGAGCCCATGGTGGATGACCTACCTATCGAACAGCCAAATGAAACCGTGGTTCCAACCGAAACCAACCCGGCGACCGAGCGTGATCTTCCCCTTGAAACCGGTTTTCAAGTTGATGGTGATGCGGCCTTTGACGCCGAAATACAAGAGCTCTTTTCTTGACTTTGTACTTTTTTCTTTTTCTTATTTCGTCTTTGTAACCGGGCTTTGGTCCTTGCTTTGTACTTATTTTGATCTTTAATGAAATGGAAATTTGCTTGAACTCTAACTTCGGTTTTTATATGTATGTCTGTACTTTGTAATGCCTTCAGTTACTCCAACTGTTATTTCGGTTTTGGCTGGTTAAACTACGATTACTAGCCAACCACTCCTTAGCCAATATAATCACTTCGGCTGAGGAGTACAAAGTACTTAATCCAGTCAATCCAACTTCAGCCATACCCTTACTATGGCTGAAGGGTAACAAGTGTTGGTCTATTTCAGCCAACCACTCTTCAGCCTTGCACTTACTTCGGCTGAAGAGTAACAAGTGTTGGTTTATTCCAGCCAACCACTCTTCAGCCTTGCACTTACTTCGGCTGAAGAGTTACAGGAGTTGGTTTCTTCCAGCCAACCACTCTTCAGCCTTGCACTTACTTCGGCTGAAGAGTAACAAGAGTTGGTTTATTCCAGCCAACCATCGGAGTTAGTTTTTCCAGCTAACTTATAGTATTTGGTTATTCCGCCCAAATGTCCTGCAGCCTGGATCCTTATCCTGTGCTTAGGAAGGGTATTGGTTTATTCCAGCCAACCTCTAAGTTAGTTTTTCCGGCTAACTTAGAATGAAAATGCTTGCAATGCGCCTAATCTTTACTAAAGCTAACTTTTACAAGGAACAACTTGTGCTAAAAAGAATTTCTCATTTTATTGAAGGAAGAGAAAATTACATATGTTTGAAAAAAGAAAAGCT